GTGGCACAGCCGCCATGTCACTCCCCTGCTCGTCTACCCCCGGGCTGCCTGTGCCCGCGCCGCGATGTGGGGCTGTTCCTGCCCACAGCGCCGCTTCTGTGGGTCCCTGTGGCGCGGGGCGGCGGGTCTGACGCGGCGGTGCCTGGCGAGGCCTGAAGGGCTCTGCCGGGCTCCCAGGGTCGAGGGGTGCCCAAGTAGCTCTGGCATCTTTCTCAAAGCTGTTGAACCAGCAAAGCAGTCACGTCTCCGTGACCTGAATTAATCTAATAAGTCTTTATTTGACCTTAATATTAGTTTAGGGCAGGTGCAGTATTTGCATAATCGTTCATTCAGCTTCGTGTTAATTACTGTGTCTGAAGTGCCCTGCTAATGAGATAACTGTGTGACAACTTCGAGAAGGGAGTGGGAGGAAAACAGGTGTAAAATTAATCAAAGTGAGAGCACTGACTACATCAAAGCTCGCTCTACCAGAATGAACTCTCTTAGCATTTGGTTCCCATTTATTTATTACAAGCTTTTGGCTGCACTGAACAAATAATGTGTCTTATATCAGAATGAAATAAAATTGGCAAGTTACACAGAAAAACATTAATGAAATTTTAACTTGTCTATGTAATTATCTTAGTACTTTTCCACAGTTGCATGTAATACTTCTTCCTGGAGCTGTGGATGCTCTTCAGTACTATGAGGTTAGGTGCTTTATTATCAGCCTTTGCTGAAGGTCTTCTGTGGGAAAAGCTCCTAAGAAAGTTGCATGGTTTTGTATGTTATATGCATAATCTCTTGTCTAAGTATAGACTGTGGAAACAGTATTTTGTTTTCTGACAATGCTTGCGTTCCAGTCTCTCCTCATAGTACCTCTCTATACAGGGACTTATCTGAGAATTAAAAGATGTCTGGTGTTTTTCAAGAAAAAAAATCAAGATCTTGCAGAAACAAATTTAATGTAATTTGGTTTTTAGAAGTCTGTACCATATATTCTAAGTTTGCAGAAGGCCTTTTCATAATAAGCACATAAAATGTAGAATTAGGAAAACTTTAACTTAACAAAAATTTAAAATTAAATAGACTCCATCCATTTTCAGCTACTATAGATGAACCGGGTTCTGACAGAGGTGCGACTAATCTTCAATAGTTTTTAAAAATAGCATAGTTATTTCAGCAAGTGCTTGTCTTATTCTTTCCGTAAAGTTATTCAAGTAAAAAAATATTAGGTCAGATTTATTGTTTTTTTAATGCAAATCACTTTCTGTAGGGTTTTGAAGTGTGTGATGAAGATAAAGGCTATTTAAGCAGAGAGGACTTTAAAGTTGCTCTAGTAATGTTGTTTGGTTATAAACCTTCAAAGATGTAATTTTTAAAATTTATGTTCTGAAGATTCAGCTTATATAGCTGTCTCACTGTTCGAGAACTCTGTGTGCTCATTGGTCTGCACTAATTGGAGTGGGTTACTCTAGGTTCAGTAAACAGGAGTACCTACAGATTCTTAGTTAATCAAACTCCTACCTTTCCTGCTGCAGACTGTGATGAGCAGAAGGATGCATTGTATTTCATATGTGTACAAAATGTATGAAATAAGTAACTTGCTGAGCTTGTTATTCATCAATTATTGTTTTTTATGAGTGGTACACTGTTTCTTTACTCAGCATTTCAGTCGATGTGAAAATACTGCATGTCCTAATAACAAACATGTATTCTCAGAAATACAGTATTTTTGGTTTCACGTAACAGTTGAGCGTTTTTAGTCTTCTCTAATATAAATCTATAGCTGTAAGTCTTAAGAAATGAAAGGTTTACTGAGATAAATAATGTGTTGCATACTCACAGGAAGATACAGAATAAATTGTATGGCTTAATGTAGTTCTGGAAGTTATGCTTCTACTCTCGTACTACAAGTGAGCTCAGAAGAAGAACACACGTAGAAGATTTAAAAATAAATACATGTGTGTCTGTGAGTTTGTCTTTCTCACGGCATGTTGATACAGGCTTGCCCAATATACTGTAAAGTATATTTAGCATACAAATTATAATTAATTTTTCTTCTCCAGTTCGAGCAAAGTTCTTCCCCAAGGACCACTTGTGACTAATTTATTTTTTTTTACTTAAGTATTTTAGGAAAATAGTCTTAACAAGGTCATAAACAAAATTTTGTGGTAATTTAAAGTAAAAAACACAGAAATGTTTTAACAAACTGTGAAAGTAGTCATCTCTGATATATTTCAGGTGTGGGTAAACATTTTCTCAACGAGCTAGGGCCGGATCTAAAAATAATTTAGGCTTCTAAAGTGAGTCTTAACTACTGAATTATGAGTCTGAAAATGCTCAGCTGCCCCTTATCAATTGTCTCCTATCTTTTTTTAACTTCATGTAAAAGTCAGCTGCTCTGTTAAATTCCCTGAATGTTTCTTCCAGTAGGAATACTCAAAACATGCTTAAGGCATTCAAACAGGAGCAGGTTCTGTGCATAAGTCACTGATGGCTCCTTGGAAAGAAAGGAGGTGCAGGTTCAGATATTCCTTCCTGAAAAGGTGCCAAGTCACACCTGCTGTGTCTCTAGGCAGTGCTGTGACCACCTGGCTGTAGACCATTTTGTCTGTGCAGCTGCACAGAAATTAATTAAAACCGTTTGTTCCAGGAGTGGTTCTGTTGCCTAGTGGTTTTGCTAGCTCCTTAAGTGGGCCCAGTTCCAGCAACTGCTGCTCTTTACCCAATGACTGCTCATTATGAAGTACTAAAAGATCCCCAAGTAGACTGATACTTTTTTTGGTGGCTTTTAACTATGGTTTAGGGCACAGCCAAACCTTTTGCTTTTGCTGATGGCTAGGCCTTGTAAGTGCTCCTTTTAGCATTTTCGTAGTTTTTAACCTAGCTCTGAGAAAGAACTTTGTGCACTAGACGGAACCAAACACAGAAGTTACAACAATAGAAGTTGATTGTTGGGATCCAGATCTTGAGCATGTTATTGTGCATTTTACTTCGTTGTCAAAATGATTAAAATTGGAGACTATAGTAACACCCCTTGTATTTCTTTGGAAGTGACTAACAATGGCCCTGGCAAGGAGAGTACTTTCAAGAGCTTTTCCAAGAAATGGGGAATGATGTACATTACTTCGTAAGGTGAAACTGTCTCCTTAGCTACACTACATGCTAACATAATTTTTTTCAATAGAAATGGCAATTACTTAGCATCATCAGCTGCAATCAAGCAACTGCGTTTTTAGTAAATTGTTGCTGCATTTTTTTTGTCACGTTTTAATTGATTCAATAAATTAAAAGTAATACTAACTTTATCCACTAGATGTCCTTAGCAAACTCTTTACTGGAGAAGGTGGGACCTAAAAAGTTGAATTGCTTTCCTACTCGCTTTTTCAAAATAATTTGTTGTAACAATTATGTATTATTGTTTATAAAATATTGGTTTTGTGTGGTTATTCGTAGATATTCTGAACTTATTCCTGTTTAAAATTAAGCCTTCTGAGACAAGTAACTAGGAAAACATGAAAATAGAGATTAATCTGATTGTTGGACTGATACTGTATATAAATTTGATATATTTGTTAGCATATAAAAATAATCCTTTCTGGGAACTAGCAGCGTTGTTTGAAAGTTTGGTTTAGTGATTGTTTTTCCCGAAATTATTTGAACTGATCTAAAATGCTCTCATATTTCAACAACCATTGAGCTGGCTAACTGCATATTCAGGTGCTAAATTTTTCAAGTGAAAAGGGTACTGAAGTAATAGTAGTCATGAAAATATGTTGTTTCCCCACCTAAAGTTTAATTTCTGGTACTGTTACATTTAAATCTAACTAAAAGCACTCCCTGCACTGTGCCTAGGAGGCTGCCCCCCCCCCCAGTATCCAGTGTTTTTCCTGACCCAACTCTGTACCTTCACATCAGGACACCGGTAGGTCGGCATCTGCTGCTGAACAAGATGCCAACAGCTGGACACCCTGACATCCGGAGTACAGAAGGGCAGTCTGAGCTCAGGGCTGCTTACAACTTCCAGCTGCTCTTCTGGCACATTTTACTAAAGCTTCCTAAAAAGGGCTCCCTAGTCTATTAGTATGCCTGACACAGTGTATGTGAATAGTGTTGCAGCCCAAATGGAACATACAGTCTTAGGTTAACTGGTCACGGCATGTTTGGCTTGTCCGTTCTCCAGAATGCAGCATGCTTAGGTTGCACTAGAAGCTGCTAACATGTTGTCTCCTCCCATGTGGGTTGTCTCAGTGCTGCAACTATGTGCAGTCTTGTAGTCTAATAACATAGATGCAAGAGTTTGGACTCATGAGCTCTCAGTCATGCTAAAAACCAGTATAAATATAGACTTAAGTGGGCCCCTGTGCTTTCTTGGATATACATTCACTTTCTGTTCCTTACATTGTTCAAAGATCTTTTCCAGTGATCTCTTGGTCACCTCCTAATTTGGTTCTGAAAAGTGATTTCTTTTGTTTTCATCATGTCATTTAGCTTTTTGCTTTTGTACTATTAATGAACCTTGGTAACACACTAATATTAGTGACTATGGGTGAATCTTGGTAACACGCTGATCAACATGTGTGTGTCACTCCTGTGTTCGTATCAGATGAGATTTTGAGGTAAGATTCTAATGAAAGACAGTAAAGAAGTCACATAATACATAAAATGAGACAGTAGTGGATTGGTTTCAGGATAGTGGTAGAAGCTGGATGATGCAAACTGATTTATTTCATTTCATTTTTTTGTTCTCTACCTTTTTATTAAAGTTTTTATTTTAGACAGATTTACCAAATTAATTTTGATGAAACTAGGTTTAAGGAAATAGTTGGCCTTCAGTCTGAATATTGAAACAGAGTTCTTTCATTGTTTAAAGGAAATAATAAATTTGGGGGCTGATGCTCTAAAAGTTAATTTTTAATATTACAGTTCCTTTGTGTGTAGTTGAACTCCAATGTGTACAAAATTAAGTGTGTTTGTTTAAGCCTACTTAGCTTAAGATTTGGATATTGAATAGGATTCTGTTAGGACTGCATATACACTTTGCTGGATGAAAAAGAGGTGGTTTTATTTTCATTAGAATAAAATATTTTCTTACTTAAATGCCATAGATGATACTGTTGTGTAATACGTATTATTATGACACCAGTATTTAGTGAAATCACATACTATTGATGTAAAATGGAAATCATACAGGAGTGCAGATTTCTCGCTTCAGTAGAAAACCACTGTGGCATATCTTCTGTGTTCCAGGTGGAGGTGGATTCAGTAATGTCTTCTGTGAGACGGGAAAATTCAGGCAATATGCAAATATCTATTTGTCAATTATTTCTACTCTTTTTTCATTCATAAATTTTAAAAAAATCTGAAGCTCAGACTCTCAAGAGTTTTGAAGAGCCCAATGTAGATTAATGATAATGTATGTAATTGTATGAGATGCAGCAAGGCTCAGTGTCGGGTCCTGCACTTGGGTCACAACAACCCCATGACATGCTACAGGCTTGGGACAACAAGACTGCATCTCGAATGCAGTGTTCAGTTTTGTGCCCCTCACTACAAGGCAGACATTGAGGTGCTGGAGTGCATCCAAAGAACAGCAACAAAGCTGGTGAAGGGTCTGGAGCACAAGTACTATGAGGAGCAGCTGAGAGAACTGGGATTGTTAAGTCTGGAAAAAAAGAAGGCTCAGGGGTGACCTTATTTCTCTCTACAATGACCTGAGAGGAGGTTGCAGTGAGATGGGTGTTGGTCTCTTCTCCCATGCAGCAAGTGATAGGATGAGAGGAAATGGCCTCAGGTTGTGTCAGGGAAGGTTTAGATTGGATACTAGGAAAAATTTATTCACTGAAAGAGTTGTCAGACTCTGGAACAGGCTGCCCAGAGAAGTGGTTGAGTCACTGAGCCTGGTGCTATTTAAAAGAGGCGTAGATGTGGTGCTTAGGGACATGGCTCAGTGGTGGACTTAATGGTTGAACTAGATGTTAAGGGTCTTTTCCAACCTAAATGATTCTATGATTCTATTCTGTGATTCTATAAATGAGCTGAATAGGATTATTAAAGAGGATCATATGATTTCATCTATTTTTGTAATATTTTTAGTACTTGTATGTTACATTTAGCTCAAACTTATTCTTGCTTCTTAAAGTGGCATTTCTTTGCAGCAACACTATATGGATTAGTGATAGGAAAAAATAATTAGTAATTTTTAGTGTTCAAATTGGTAAGTGATGAGAAAGGTTCTATCAGTTTTTTGATACTACCTTGCTGTTTACTTGGGCAAATACTGGAGTCTTACACCCCAATTCAATAAATATCTCTTTCTGTAACAACCCTCCCATTTGTGTAGTTCTACATATTTTTTCGTGTCCTTGACCTTACCAGTTATGCCCATACATCTGTTTGTGGGATTGTGTGGCAAGTCTTACTGGAGAAATGATTCTTATAAAAAATGAAGTGGCAAAAAAATGTGGTTGCTTTTAGCAATAAGTTCCCTCCTCTCTTTCACCACATGGCCCACAAATATTTGTATCAATACAAAGGCCAAAATTCGTGTTCATTAAACCACACCCTTATTTATAAATCTTTAGTTTAGGCAACAAATAAAGAATATAGATTTTACTCAGATTTTTTTTTCAAGAGAACAACCACATATGAATGCTTGAATCAAAAATAGTGAACTAATGTATAAAGATAGATTAGGGCTTGAATATTTTTTTTTAAGAAGACCCTTTTGTGTGTTAAGATAGCTTTGCAGCCTGTTCTAGTAGCACATAAATTGCCAAGCCTGAAGATCAATGAATAGGCGGCACTCTATTATAGGAGCTATTCTATAAAAGGAAAATTGTATACTATAATTTTCTTGGCTCGTATGTTACTCTGAAGGAGAAAAAATAAATGGATGGAAAGCTTACATTGCTTTTTATGGTTTCACTTCCATAGTTATCCAATTGAATGGAGAGCTGTTCATGTAGGCAGGTTCAGTATGTTTAGGCAACCTCTGTTATTAAAGAAATTGTCCATGTACAGAACCTAGCAGTTGAAAGCAGCCAATCTTTGTAATCCTGGAAACTGAGACTGTGACAGGTTTTAATGTATGATTTATCAAGAAAAAAATAAGCAAAGAAATACCAGAAATCCATAAGCTTGGAGTTTAAGATTTGAATTGAGACAGCAGGTGGAGCTGAAGGAGTTCTGCTTTTGAACCACTGCAGAAAGAATAGGATATGAATGAATCAAAAGGAAGAGAAGTGCAGAGCTTTTGTTATGTTATTTCATAAAGAAGAATTCCTGCAGGATACAGTCATGTGACTTTCTAAAGAATTTAAAATGAGCATAAAGCATATATTAGAAAGTTATGAGAAAGGAATATTTATCTGTTTAAATATTGAGCTGAAGTGGGATTTTTTTGCCAAAAAGCTATGTATCTGCAGAATTTTTATATCAAGATTTTTGCATGTTTCGTTGGGAGGCCTGAAGTTTTGAGGGGCAGATTGTTGTTTCTCGATTTTTATGTTTTACTTTTATTTTAGAAGAAATGGTCAGTTAAGTACTTACAAACTAGGTTTGCGTTTCAATTTCTTTCATTTTCAGTTAATTAAAAGGATAAGATAAATGTACAAGTAAAGACTTTCATATAGTATACAGTAGGAATAACCAATCCAGTTTTACATTCAATTTTATTATTAATTTCATAGGAATCTATATCTGAGGTTATAGGTTATTTCAGAGTTCTCTCACTGCTGGGAATGATGCCAGATAGGTTGTTTATGCAGCATGGATCTTTATCCATGGCATGCAAGTGCTATTGACTTAGAAAAGTCCGTGTTTCTCTCCAGTGTGAAGAAAAATGAGATGACAGGTAACAAGAAGAAAAAATTAGAAGTATACAGAAGCATTATACTCAAGTATAGAAAATCTGTGAGAAAATGTAAATGATGTTGAAATGTTTGCATGATCTACCTTTGAAGACTATTATTTCAGTTTTATTTTTGTGTTTATTTATATAATTAAAGTAATTAATAATTTTTAGACCACAGTTGTGCATATTTTTAAGGAGGAAAATACATCTGTCTCTTGTGCAGGGAGATTTATTTATATTTTAAATTTTTCTAGGTCTGTTATTTGAAACGTTTTTAAATCTCATGAGTGCAGAGAAGGCTACACCGTTACACAGTAATGAAACAAGGCAAATATTTACAGCTTTTGATGTGCAAGGTAAGTTTTTTTTCTCCTAAATATGTGGAGTATTAATTTACTTCTAAAGCACTTAAGCAAAGCAGAACACCTGAAGGAAATAAAAAGAAGTTAAGATGAGATGTCCTGGATGCTGCACAGTTAAGTGAAACAGTACCAGAGTAGGGAAGATCATGATGATATTACTATAAATGAAGTCAGGGTCAGAAGGCTGCAGCATTCTAGGTGGTAGCTCTGGATTGTTTGTTGTACTGTGAGCTCTTTCAGCTGTTAAAAGAAATCTCTAGCCATTCACCCTACCTACTGTTGTTACTGCCGCTCATTAGTTCTCTGTTACTCATACTTGTTTATCTCCACTCATTTATAGCACATACTTTATGGATTTCTGTCCCTGGTGATGGTTATAAATCTTCTCATGATAGACCAACAAAGGGAAACCAAAGCAACAAGGAAGTAGATGTGGTGATTGTTGGGAAGTAGATGTGGTGATTCTTTTTCACTCCTATTACATGGCAGAGGATCTCCCATCACCAAACTGGAAAAAGGAAAACTTCATCAGGAGCTGATTCAGACATTCAGATGGTCCTTTGCCTTTTTCTTCCTGACCTGAGATAGGACTGTGGTCCTTGCAAAGAGTGAAAGTGAAGCATATGGCAGATCAGATGTTGGGATGATCAGATAAGCATCCACTCAGCTTTTTGCCGTGAACTAAAAGTAGCTTTTGAAGTGTTATTTTTAGTTAGTTATTTCAAAGGATTTAACTGTTTCAAGCACTGTACTTTAATTTGTCTTGCTCTCTGCTGCACACAGTCTGCAATAGCCGCATTTGAGATGCTTTATTTTCCAGTTGGATCTGGAAGTGAATTCATAACCTAAGTGAATGATCATTTGATATTATTCTGATATAATGTATTCAGGATCTTAAATCTGCAGCAGGATTAAACTGAAGGAGAAATTTTTTATGAAAGAAAATTTTGGAAACATAATGCTCAGAGTAACTGAGATGTCAATGAAAATGACCAATTTGAAATGTAATTTTGCATATTTTAGAGTCTCTATTTTCAAGATTTACCAATCTGAAATTTTCAATTCAAAATGTCTACTTTTAAAAGTAGAATTTATATAAGAGAGTTGTAGATATTGTAGGCGTGGTACTTTTGAACAGGGTTCACAGTGACAGAAAGGAATTGTCAGCATAACATCTTTCTTAGACTGTTTGTCTGTATAATGTAGCTATCCTGAAATATTTTGCAAATACAGTCATTTAAAGCATGTATAATCATTTCAGAAATGTGAATTGATTAGCTCACATGCAAACATAATTGTATTAAGTAGTTTAAAAAAATCTTAATTTATATAATTTTTCTCTTGACAAATCTTGATTTAAAAGACAGGAGGTTTTTTTTGACTTTTGGAGACTTCAAGAAGGCCTTCAGTTCTGTTTCTCCTAAGTTATGTGAAAGAATCATAGTTGAAGCCTTTAAATAAGATTAACAGAGTTCCTTATTCCTGGGTAGCAGGCTCTTTGTTGCATATATTTAAGTTAATTGAAATTATTAGATTCTCTCATGCGACTGAAAATATAAGCTTCAGCACATTGCTGTTTCAGTGCCTTTAATAATAAATAAGTATAAATAATATGTGTAAGTAATATAATAATTAATATAAATTGCATAAATATAAATAATAAAATAGCTATAATTAAAATAACGAATATTACCAGATACCAGATTTGTTGCTGTACTGTTTCTTAAGAAGCCCACAATTATTTACTTTTACATTTTCCTCCTGTAATCAGGAAATCTGCATTCAAGAGCTGTCTCTTGAAAAATTCAGTTAAACTATAGTGCATATTGCGATACAGCAGTGGTGAGATTTCTTGCAAGGTGAGATTGGCTCAGAAGCGAGAGGATAAAGTTTTGAGAGCGATTTGCAGATAATAGAATTTTGATCTTACCTCTGCTGTTTCCAGTAAGTGTATTTAAAAAATTTTTGGAAAACATTGCATTGCAAAGTGTACAACTTTGTTTTTGTGATGTGAATGATTTGTTTGGAAGTAACTCAGTCATTGAGAGTTCTTCATTTTTGAAGACATGGCATCAGATAGCTTGGTGAGCACCGTCTTTAAAAGGTGGGGGTGGATTTTCAGTTCTTTTTTTGTAGTTGTCTGGAGCCATGGTACAAAACATTATAGCAGAACAGGAACTACTCTGTACATCTTCCAAGCCATCTTTCACTGTCATACAATAACAAAAGGGAAGTGTAGAGTGTCTTAATTTCTTAGATGATACTCTTGTGTTTTTGCATTAAAGAGGTAATATGTTTTGGGGAGAGTCATCATTTTAAGGAGGTTTGAAAAGTTATGTGGTATATTTTTGCTTGATGTCCAAGTGATTTTACTGTCACTTTTTGACATGTTGTCAAGAAATATATGGGAAGATGTAGGTAGAATAGCTTGATGTGTTATCCTTTCTGAATATTTTAAGGACTTTTATGAAGGTCCTAATGTACAATTTTTCTGTCCAGTGATTAAAATGTTTTTCTTGAATATTAATACTTTTTAGGTCAGAAAAGCATATGTAGGTGCTGTTTATACTGTTGTATTTTGCATTTTTACATTTTTTTTCATTATCTTTCTCATTTGAAAAATTGTCAAATAAATTCAGCCTTAGCTTCGTATTGTAAAATAGTTCTGAAAATTTTGGCCTATCTTTCTGTCAGTGAAACTGCACAATTTTGAATTTACATTATAATAATGATGACTTTATAAATGAGGCAAAGTTCAACCAAATGTTATGGTATGCTCTGTATCTAGTAAAGAAGACATGTCATGATCAACAGTAGCTCTAATGGTAGCATTATCACAGTCCAGCAGATGAAATTCTTGATTGTATGTTCATGAATGAGGTATGGAACCTGAAGAGAAACATAGAAAAATTTATTTTTCAAGAAGTTTGCATGTTTTGATGGCTACTCTTGAAAGAAATTGCACGATCCTACCGTGTAATACAGATTTCTTTCAGACTGAACAGGCCAGATCTGCATGGAACTCTTTTAGGTGCACATCCTTTTTGGATATTTCTTTTGTCTCTTGATGTGTATTTTGAACTTTTATGTAGGCAAAAAAACTAAGACTTTTGTCCTAAATTTAGCTGTACAATTGCATTGTCACAGTATGAAAAGAAAACCACAGGAAGTATTTTGGATGTAGATACTTGTCAGAAGTTTTGATGTATTTGTGGCACAAAATCCATGTTACAATGGATTGCTAAAACAAACAGAGTGCATGTGCTTTCTTATTTGTACGCATGTTTCTTGTTCTTCCATCTTTTTCGTGCAGAGATCAGAATTAAGTTTTGGGACTGAACGTAGTTTTAATATATTCTGTGTTAAGTAAAATAATTTACATATCATGTAAGATGTTTGGCATCTTCAGGTGTGATGATTCTGATCAAGTGTGAGTTCTAACACTATGTCTGTATGTTAGGAATTAATACAGCACACAGGGATCGGGTCTGTAGAGCAAAATGCTTATGCTGGGGACCCAGTATCTATATGATGTTCATTGAGGGAATTACTTGGGCTAATCTAGTCTAGTCAACAGACTGAATGATCACTGGAAGTTGGAGTATTTTGGGCACATGCTGGGAGCACATCTTTCAGTTTAATTTCGTCTGGAAGAAATGCAGTGTGTATACTGTGACCATGCTATGTGACCATAGTACAATCAGTGGGGAAGGCTGGGAGATTCAACTCAAAAGAGCATTCCAAATCTTAAGTAAAACGTAGCGACACATTGAGACAAGGCGGGGGGGGGGAAGCTTAATTGGTGTATTTCAGAGCTTTGTGAAATCGTTGTATGAAAAGGATTTTTAAATGTTTATTTATAAAATTTTCACTTTGGTGGAAATGCCATCTCCAAACCATGTCAGGTACTGGTGGGTTCCTTTAAGTTGGAAGGTTACATGTATTATTTTCTTATACTTTAAATGAAGTAAAATGTTACAGTATAAGCTAAGTCTGTGGTTAGTGTCACAAGGACTGGAGGGAAAAGGGAGTAGGAAAAAATGTTAAAGGCACATACATAATACTTACCCCCTCTACTTACCATACAGAGCAGGGAATTATTTTCTACTATTTTCTAGAGTGTAATTCTTAACATATTCATAGACATAAAAATTAAAACAAGGGTATTCAAGCTATGAAGAACACAGGGAAGGGAAGATATAAGTAATTGATTAGCATTAAGAATGAAGGACTCCACTGAAGTAATTTAGCTTTCAGATTAAGTAGACTTGATTTGTAGGTGTGGAAAATGCTCATAATGAGGCATTCATACATAATAAATTAATTTTAACAAACTTGAGGCTTGAAAATGGTATTATTGTATTTGTAATTAATATTTTATATTAATATTAGAATAGTCTTAAATGTTTAATATAATTTAGTAAGAAGCTAAATAATAACAGATTATTTTTCTAACCTACCTGTACAACAACTGTTATGCTCAAGATCTTGTTATGGCTACAAAGGAGACACCTGATACATAAACCAAAATTTGTTGTTACTATATGGAAATCCTAGCAGTCTAGTCAAAGAAGTATTATTATTACAGATTTAATAGTTACCAAAAAAGAAAGAAAAATAAAATAAAGAATACTATGCTACAAAAAGTCTCCGTGCAGACCTCCTAACTTCTACCCCTTTTGTGTTACTATTTTCAGTCTTCCACTGTCCCTCTTGGTCCTGAGGTTGACAGTTCCAGGGCAGGCATGGTAGGGTGAATTGCCATTATCCTGACTTCTTCACCACGAGGAGTGTGATATTCATATTGATGTTCTCTTCTTTCTCACTCTAGCTTCCACTTTGGGTCATTTTTGCATGTTGTCCAACACAGTTTATATCTTCTTCTTTCTTCATTGATCTGCAAGCCCACATTGCATCCACATTTACTATTTGCACATATTACATATTTTAGATATTTGTTCATTGCTGGTTTTGTCATCCATAAAACCACTTTTACCCATGCATCTGCATTTCTTTAACTGACCATTGATGAGCTGTTTATAGTCTTGGTCCTCCAGTGTTAGCCTGTGGCCTGTATCTTTAACATCCCATGCCTGTCCTCCTCTATTCTATATCCTGTGTCTTTACATCTGAAGACCTCTGCTATCATGCCATGTCTGTATTTCCCTAATCGTTACTTAAACTTGTAAATATTTCATTTTACATAGAAGAAATTCCTGTTAGTGCTGTCTATATAAGGCTATACTATATAAAGATAAGAAAAATGAATTAGATGTAACCACCTGGTCCTTGAAAGAACTGCTGTTACAGATAAAGCAAGTGAAAGCTCCAGGCAGGCCAAGCAAATTTAGACAAAATCTGACAAGCCTCAGTCCTCGGACCTCAGTACAGAGTTTGTGGCCTGTCAGGAGCAATGGCTGTACTGTGTTTACTGGAATACGGGGTTATGAGTCATATGGTTAGTATCCCTGCTTTACATTAACCTTGTATATTCTTTTATAAATGTATAAAGATGTGGTAAATTGATTTGAATTGGTAGTAGAGCTTCAGGATGGGGTGGAGTCAAGTGCTCTATTTTATGAAAGAAAAAAGACACCTCATTCAGCAGTGTTTCTAAGTATAGTAAGTTGGTGGTGGTTTTTTTTCCTTAATTCCATGGAAATAGGACCAAAAATAAATAGATTTTCATCTCATGCTGATAAAATAGTATTTAATGTTCTTAATGACTTTCTACTGAGGGATTATTTTCTTACGATGTCAGTAATATACTGCACTTAGCTGTTGATAAAGTTTGCAAAATGTGGGTGAGTTTTCAGTTTATATTTGATTGTATTGATTGTAACATTTATTGTTTCTGAGCTAATATTGCAGTTACATTGAACAAAATGCTCAAGTGCTTATCATGCACCTGGTGTGCACCTGGTTAAAATGCCATCATACCATAAAAACTCAATATTTTTGAGTTCAGAAGTTGCAGAAGTACCTGCTAAGGTAAATGATGTGATGAAACGTTCTTTCATGATGGGACTCTAATGGGTAGCACACACAAGAATTTATTTATAATAATGCTGCCGTTCTGCATGTAGCTACATGGATATGAAATCTGACAAGTCTTTTGCAATAATAATTTGTGATAAATGGCTGTCTATAAGTGAACATGTTGTCTTTCAAAGTGGTATTCAAATTCTTTAAAAAATATTCCAAGTACCGTTTTCCTTTTTTTGTTGTGAATGTCATATTCAAATTATACAATATTATTAATTACTGCTGCTGAGAAAATATTGATCTTAGCTGTGCCATTTGTTTAGAAAAAAATGGGTTATTTGTGTGCTAAATCCTTAGACCATGATAATGGAAATAGTAATGGAAGTAAGCTGAAAACCAATCACATGTGGATGTGAGTGAACCTATAAATGATGAAAAATGTCTTACAAACCAAAAGCGGACAGAAAAGTCTCATA